TCATGGTCACAAAATGGCTGCAGCTTGTCCAGAAATCATATCCACATTCAAAGCAAGAAAATGAAGGGAAAGGAGACACTAGTAATGTTTGTCCCTTTTATCAGCAAAAGTTTCCCAGAAGCCTCCCTAGCAAACATCTGTTCATATGTCATTGCCCAGAACTGTGTCACATGTGGCCTCCCAGGTGTAAGACAGGCTGAAAACATTGAGTATTTAGCTTTTCTAACCTATGGGAGAAGAGGGTTGGGAGGATGTGTCGGGTTAGGTCTGTTTCAGACCATGTGCCCATCCTGGAGCCAGTCACAGTGCTCAATGGAATATTCTCTTTGACCAGCCAGTCCTGGGGCAGGCATCCATCTTGGTGTTGGGAGACTGGAATCAAGCCACTTGGTTTGAGAGTAACATGGGGGTGGCTCCCTAAAAGTCAGGAGTTACTGGCAGGCAAAAGCACTGTATGATATTTTTGATTTACTATCTCTTTTCCACAACTTGGAGTCTTGCACGAAGAGGTTATTAGTTGTCACGGCCCAAATACTGTTAGGGTTGTTGAGGCATTGACCTGATAGGATTGACAAGTCTATTATCAGCCCTTAGTCCTTTTGTTCATACGTTATATGATTTAGATCATTTTTCCTCATGTTGTTCTCAGCTAACTGTGTCAGAAATAGAGATATAATATTTTCACTGGAGTGAAAATTGTTCTGTCTCCTGACAGGAACTGTAACTTATGTTTAATAGAATGAAAGTATGTTAGAGAGTTCATTTGGTTCAAACTTCCTGTTTTATAGGTGGAGATTTCGAGTGCTTACTGTAGTGCACTGTGCATTTTGAATTCTCAGTTAATGTTGCTGATGATGATCACAGCTTCTTTGCTGCCAGTTAAGATGAAAACTAACATGACACTTGCACAGCCTAGCGGAGTCTCCTGTGGTGACCAGCACTCTGCAGTTGGCTTAGGATGACTGTGGTATATCATTTAAGGCCTCTCATCCAAGTCCAGAAGCTCATCCTTGCTTCAGTTCACTGACAATTAATCATAGTAATTAATAGAGCACTCTTTATAACCCTGTGCCTATGGCTTAGCATTGGCACCCATTCACTCCTGCATTGCTAAGTGACTTACAGGCTTGCAGAACAAACAGAAGATGGACTGGGACGTTTTAAAGAGGAAAAGCAACGTGTGAATGTTGGGGGAATTGGCAGAAACTTATTTCCAAAGGGAATATTTAGGACCTATTTCTAAGCATCCTTTTTTTCCTCTTATGCAGATTTATTCTATTGCACATGATGAAAAATACAAACTTCTTGTCTATTCCTGATATCCTGGGCCTAGACGGGTTTCAGCGATAAAGGCTGGTGAATTAGAGGGGAAGAGAATGGAATTAGAAAAGCAGCATCTCTAGTACATCTTTTCCTGTGGAGCCAGTGCTGGCAACTGAATTATTAATGGTTATCTTTCTGGACAGGTATTAGCATGAATGAATTGACTCTATTTTTTGTGCACCTCTTTTTGACATGCATGTAAATGCAGAAAAAGAGAAAGCATATGACTGTTCTAGGCTGAAGTGAAACCTAGCCTTCTTATTGTTAATTGTGGTAAAAATATTTATTATAAAACATTTGCTCTTTCAACATTTTTTACATGTGCAGTTCAGTGACATGAATTACTTTCATCATGTGCAAACATCACCACTGTCTAGCCTTATATTTAGTGTCCTTGTTGGGGTGCACTTTTATAAAGAAAGATGAAATTTGGGAAAAGAAAAATAAGCACTTAAAATCTCAGGTGCCCTTGACATCTACTTATTCGATTTGCACAGCTCCCACCCACCATGACAGCTCCCTATCCAGTCATCCTCAAGTCTTACAAATTTTATATTTTGCCTCCTAATTTGTTCTCTATCTCCATTCACTAGCCTGTAGAATTACTTGTTTACATGTCTTTCTTGCCTGCTAAACAGCACCTAGCCCAGGGCCTGGCATTTGGTGCATGTTAAATGAGTATCAGTGATGTTGGCAGGTGAAGAAGTCTGTACTGGTCCAATTTTATACATGAGAAAACCAAGGCTCAAGTAACTTACCCAGGCGTAGTAATGGCAATGTTAGAATTAGAACTCAGTTCTCCTAATGCTCATTCCAGTGTTCTCTTCCCTAAGCTATAATACACCTACACCATAAAAATAAAATGAAGGGTAGGTTCACTAACGTGGAAAGGAAAGAATTGCTTATGGGGAGACATTTTGGTCAGTAACAATTGGCTAGAGTTTGGCTGCGAACCTGCCCGAGCCGGTGAAAAAGAGGATAGCAATTCATGATCAAACCAAGAATCAGATTCTTTCAAGAATATCAAATTATTTCACTTAGCACAACGCAAAAATTCTTGAGGAAAATGTATGTAAATTAAAATCTCTTCCTCGTCACTCTCCCCTCCCCTCCCCTCCCGTTATCTTGATGAATACAGATCATTTCAGTGCTACCGTATTTGAAATGAGAAATACTTCTCTATCTGCAAAAACTTAAATGCATCAAGGAATAGTAAGTTGGTCAACAAACATTTAATGCCACCTATGTTTGGGTTCTGTGCACTTGGTGCTTCTTATCTGTAGTAATCCTGTCAAGTCTTGTGCAATTTTAGAACTGACGTAGTCTTCTGAGATTATCTAGTACAACTTTCTCATTTTATACTTAAGGATCCTGAGATCCAGAGATACTGGTATATCCAATTAGTGACAAGACAGAATTAGCATGCCAATCTAAACTAATCTTTTACTCCTTGATCCTGAAGAAAACTTCTGTATGGTGAATAATTACCTCCTGACAATTCTGAGGTGTCTTGTCGTCAGCATTGTTCTTGTTGGACTTTCCTATGTGGCTTTTGTTGGAAGGAGGCAGATACATTAAAAACTTGGTGTTAGTAGTTGTCATAGCAAGACTGAGGCTGTGACCAAGATACAAGTAGATGTTTTAGTGTCTGCTTTTCCTGTTCTCGGTTGTTATGGAAGCCTGACCAGCATGAGACCTGCTCATATCGCTGTTGATGGTACTCCTTTCTGGCCTCCAAGAGTTCAAATGTCAGTAGCTTTTCTTTCTGTGATATTTTGATTTTTCATAGACCAACAACTCAGAAAGTATAAGACAAAATTTCCACAGGAAATATATAAGAGTTTCTAAGTAAGAGTTGCTTCCAGTTTATTTCAGAATTAATAATATAATAGTGTTTGTTCAGATAGTCCACTTCTCCCAAACCTGAAACCCATGCATATGTTGTCTCTCTCTCTCTTACACAAACACACACACATACACACACACACACAAACACTTCTTCTCTCCGATTAACAGACTATATTGATGTAGTAACAAAATGTAAATGCCTTAACTCTAAAATGATATGAAGAGCATTGTCTGCAGAAGAGAGTAGGACCAACCAGGTAAAGATGATCTTACATGTTCACATAAATTTTGAAAACTCTCCTTGTGAGTTTTTCCCACAAACCTAGAATTATAGTATAATCATAATGAAGCAATTTGATTGTTACATGAACTGGGAGTCCCAGGAAACTATGAAATGCTGCTCTACTCTAAGATTATTACCTAAAAGTTCAAGTTTTATAAGGAATCCCTGTAGAAGCCGAGGGCATATGAAGTACTTAGAGCTAATAGGAAAGGATCAGAGTCAGATAAAATGTGTGTGGCTCTGTGCCTCTTCTACTTTCCAGAGCATAGTGAAGGTCAGTACCCCTAACATTAGGTTATTTTCTTTAAGCTCAGGCTTTGTCTTTGTTTTTATTTGAGCTGATTTTTCATAGACTTTGACCCACCAAACTTACCTGGCCACAGAAGGGTTTTAAGTAGAAGCCAGTTATAAAAGCCATTGAGAAAACCATGTACCCCACTGAGGGATTGGTTTCATTTTAAAAATAAAATGTCATGAAACGCAAACCAGAAATAATTTGGCCATACATTTAGAACTTTCCAAGATTGGGGAAAAAACCTTACTGCCAAAGGTTATATTAAGCCATTAGAAGAAAAGTGGGTGGCCAAACATTTTTTTGTCAACTTTGTTAATTCTGCTTTTCCTATATTTTGTTGTTGTTAGTGGCCCTCGAGTCTATTCCGACCCATGGTGACCCTACATGTGCAGAGTACAACTACTCCATAGGGTTTTCTAGGTTGTGACCTTCAGAAGCAGATCACCAGGTCTGTATTCTGAGGCACCTCTGGGTGAGTGCAAACCACCAACCTTTTGGCTAGTAGTCAGCACTTAACCCAGGGACTCATTTTTCTATATTAGAGGTAAAGAATTTAGTTGTTTGAGAGAGCGGTTATGCCATCCACCTGCTCTGTCCCCTGACTCTCCAAGCAGTGAAATAGAAGCTTTATAAGTTGTATGGCTTCTCAGGTCATCAAAGCCATCTCCCTGCCCCAGTTCAAGGGCTTAGATATGGCCATGTGTATGTGCCTGCCAATTATTGAGTGAGAAATCAATGCTGAAGGCAATTCAGGTGGAACTAGCAAAAAGCAGCGGCATACTTTCTCAGAAGATTGTGTAAATTCTTAAGTGTCGTATAGCTGTGAGCTCCTTTTAGACTAGTATTTTAGCAACTTTATGGTAATGTTGCCATAAAACAGTTCACATGCTTACTTTATATATGGCCAGGGTCTTTTTTCTCCCACGCCAGGCATGTTTGGTCTTCCCTTCTTGCCAAAAGCATTTAAGGTATAAGCCCGATAGGAGCACCATATTTATAGGATTAGTTTTCTTTTTTCCTAGGCTGTTTTGTGCTCTGACTTACAGTGGGTAATCATAGAATATATGTTACTGGAAGTCAGTGACAGTTGTTGCATTTGAAGATTGGTTAACAAGGGGAAAACTAGTTCCCTGTGCACATTCTTCGTTTGAGGCGGGTACTTATCTTGTCATAAACTGGCTGCATTACATATCTACTTATACAAAGACTCACTTAAATATTTGACATTCTTTTTTATTTTTTTTCCCACAGCCATCTCTTCCTGTACTTTATACCCTGTCCAGCCAGGCTACACATGAAGCTGTTCATCTCCTTTGCAGGATGTTGGTCTTTGATCCAGTAAGTAGTGTTTGTTTATTTTTTTAATGAATGAAAAAATACATGTGTTCTAAGAGAAACATCATGGTTTTGATTAGATGAGCAATGTAAATAAGGACTTTTCAAAAAATAAACCTCAGTCCCTAGCTTCATGTGTCTCATGCTCACTCATCACTCAGACATTTGATGATTAACATGTAAGAGTCTAGTTGAAGAGAAATAAGAAACTGTACGATTCTTCTCATTTATCTTGAGATTCATAAAAGGAATTTGACACCAAGTTGAATCAGTGGAAAAAACAAATTTAAGATTATTTGAAAAAAATCTGTCCATTATATTGCATAAGAAGATGTTTAATCTTTGGGTTGTTGAGATGGTAGCTTCTTCAGATACCATTTCTGGACTTGACTCTTCTGGGACATACTACAAATTACACCATAAGTTCAGCTCTTTGTTTATTCATTTATCCATAGAATATTTCTTACATCTATGCCAGTAACTATTCTCAAAGGAAGACTTAAAAATGGAAGCATTTAGAAAGACATTTTCACTTGCCATGGTACGAGGAAGTCAGACTTCAAAAGGGCTGGCACGCCAAATACAAAACACAACAGGTATTTAAAGGGAAAAAGAACTCACAAAATTACCAAAGAGAGAAAGTTTACATTGGTCTGTTTCTGATGAGAAGACAGCAGCTTTCTCACATGGTTATCAAATTCACAAAGATAATAACTATCTTCAGACATCAGCATAAAGAGTAGACATAAAAATGTTTTGCTAGGGAGTTCAGGTTTGTGAGAAATAGGATTTTATTATTTGGAGAACCAGAACCAATCAGGGTGACCAAATTACCTTTGTTTCATCTAAGAATACAAAATGAGGTTTTTTTGTTTGTTTATTTGGTGCGTGTGTATTTTTTTGTTCTCCTACTGTGGTATATGAAGTGCGTACTGATACTGGAAGCAAAACAAAATGGCAGTTCTGCAGTCTCTCCTCATGGTCAGGTTCCCACCATTAAGGGTAATTTTGACCACATAACTTGCATTTAATGAGCTAGTGATTTAGAATCTATCGTTAATTTGATATTTTATTTGACAAGTTTTGTATAGTTAAAACTGGAAACTCCTTTTTCCTGAGAGACCTTTTAGACATTGGTTCTACACATGAAAAATAGTCCTTATTCCTTAATAGTGGGATTGTCATACCTAATTAAATGAAATTTTTGGTGCGGTCATAGTTACAAATTAAATTTATCTTTAAGAAGGAGATAAAATTTATCTGGTAAGAAGGAGGACAGATTCTTATTGAACTTATGTAAAAAAAAAAAAAACCAAACCCATTGCTGTCGAGTCGATTCCAACTCATAGCTACCCTATAAGACAGAGTAGAACTGCCTCATAGAGTTTCCAAGGAGCACCTGGTGGCTTCGAGCTTGCCTGCCTCTTGGTTAGCAGCTGTAGCTCTTAACCACTACCCCACCAGTGTTTCCTAACTTATGTAAATAACTACATTTTCATTAAAACAGGAAAGAATTTAGTAAAGGCAATTTACATAATATTTAACTATTTTCATCATTGTTTTATAGATAAGGCCAACCAGTATGTGTTATTTTTTATAGAATTTTTTTTTTTTATTGGCTTGGTGCTTTATTAATTTCTAATCTATGTTAAGGATTCTTTTCTTTCCACTTCTGAGGCTTCAGTTAGATCAAGGTACCATTTCAAGAGTTTTCATTCTGGTTTTAACCTGTTCAGTTGAGGGTTAGCGATACATTAAGAAGAAAACAATGAGTTTTGTTTGTTTTGTTTTGTTTTATCCATTAAGGATAGAGCATTAACCATGATTAAACCAGTTTATTTAGTCCATTTAGTCTGAGATAGTTAATTCTTGTTTTGTTGATCTCCTGTCACAAAATCGTTTGCTTCTGGACTGAAAGATTCCTGGAAACCCTGACTCAGTTACTCAGCTCAGTCTAACAGGTGTTTGTTGTGATAATCTCAGCACTACCCATGAGCTTATTCCCTGATGACAATAGTCAGGAATACCTGATACAGTCTTTTACTGAGATCCTGTGATATTTCTTACAGAAAACTCAAGTTCTGGTCTTTGGCTTGTAGCAGGGGCCTTTAGGTAAATATAAAGAAATAAAGCAGAAACCACTAGAGGATAAGATGAAAGGGCTCTGGTTCTTTTATTATAATAATATTAGAAAGGATGAGGTATAATAAGTAATCAGTTTATAAAGATTTAATCAGTTATTACCTTGAAACAGTAAAAAGACTAAACATATCTCTAGAGCCTTTAATTTAGCTCATAAAATATATTGTAAATGTCACCAAGTGACAATTGTATTTAAACCTAGAAATGAATTTTTTTAAAATTTATTGACAGTTATGTCAATCTGTTTACCTGAACATGAATGTTTCTTTTAACCTGAAAAGTACACAATATAATTATATTAATACATTTTACTTATTTATAAATATCCTAGGAAGGCTTGGTTTTTTATATATAAACAGGACAGACCTCATTACAATATTGGACTAATCAAATATCTGGAGAATATCAAACATTTCTAATTATTTTTAGCATCCCTCCTTTTATAAGGTCAAGGAATAAAGCTTTTCGTTATGTAGTAGCCATCCAGGAAATTCAGCTATGGTTGAATTATTCTGAATTTAGGCAAGGCAAGATCAAAAAGTGTTGTCAGAGGAGACAAAGTATGAATATGAGGTATGAGTATAAGGTAATCAAGGTGTGAAGATGAGTATAAGTCAGAAGTATCTAAAGGCAATTAATAGTTACAGGCAATATTTTTTAAACGCAGTAAGTTGTTAGTTGCCATCAAGTCAATTCCAACTCCTGGCAACTCCACGTGTTACCGAATAGAACTGGCCCAGAGAATTTTCTTGGCTGTAGTCTTAACGGAAGCAGATCTCCAGGCCTTTTCTTCTGCAGTACCACTGGGTGTGTTTGAACTGCAAACCTTTAGCTTAGCATCAGCTAGGGACCTCCAACAATAAATAATAATAATAATTAGGAATTTTAGCAAAAACTTCTCATTTTTAAGAGTGTGCCAAAAACTCAGAGAGTTAATAGAATATTTTGGTGATAAAAAGGGACTTCTGTAATCTAAACATACAATAACTTGGACATTTTGTCAGAAAGAAAACTCAAATTCTAGTTGTAGTCTTTTTGTATGACATCCATGTAACAATTTGCAGTAAAGGATTTATAAGCCTTTTTTTTTCGTCATAGATAAACATACCAGCATTGAGCCAACTTTGAAAAAAAATTTACACATTTTATTGCTTCTTTCAAATTATAACACAGTCAGAAAAGTTTTAGTTTTAGATGTTTTGATTCACTTTTTCCTACTGACACATCAGTTGTCTTTTATACACATTTTCCTACCATTACACACATTCTTTAAAAATATATTTCACATAATACTTGCACATCTTTTTAAAACTGTTTATTGAAGCTAATGAAGAGCCTGGAGCCCTGGTGGCCCAGTGGTTAAGTGCTACGGCTGCTACCTAAAGATCGGCGGTTCACATCTACCAACTGCTCCTTGGAAACCCTGTGACGCAGTTCTACTCTGTCCGATAGGGTCGCTATGAGTCAGAATCGACTCGACGGCAATGGGTTTGGAATGGAGAGCCTACATATATTAAAATTATGTGGTCCAGATAGACAAAGGATGTTTATTAACTCAAATTAGTGTTACCCGTTTCCATTGAGTCAGTCCCCAACTTACAACATATTCGAGTTATGACGAACAGCACCTACAATCATCTGTTTTTTGTTTTTTATGTCTTATCGTTAGTAATACGTACTACGTACACTGTTGTAGTGCCTAATTTGCTGATGTTATCATTCTCATGCCAACCCCCAAAGACAAATAAAGATCAGATTTATAAAGGTATTGATAATAAAAGGTAATAACAATGAAAACTAAAAAATAAAATGAGGTGTTCAACTTACATCAGAACTGACTTATGATAGAGTCATTGGAACGTAACCCTGTCATAAGTCGAGGACTACCTGTAATTTATCCAAAGAATCATCTTGCATAGGAATATCACATGACCTCTTCTTCTCATACATTATGTTTTTGTTGTTGTTAGGTGCCGTCAAGTCACTTTCAATTCATAGCGACCCCATGTAACAAGAGTAGAACTGCCCCATAGAGTTTTTTTGGCTGTAATCTTTACAGAAGCAGATCACCAAGTCGTTCTTCCGCAGAGCCACTACAAACCAAAAAACCAAACCCGTTGCCATCGAGTTGATTCCGACTCATAGCCACCCTATAGGACAGACTAGAACTGCCCCATAGAGTTTCCAAGGAGTGCCTGGTGGATTCGAAATGCCAACCTTTTGGTTAGCAGCCATAGCTCTTAACCACGATGCCACTAGGGTTTCTGCAGAGCCACTGGGTGGGTTCAAACTGCCAACCTTTCAGTTAACAGTTGAGCACTTTACCATTTGTGCCACCAGGGCTCTTATATAATTATATACCAGATATTAAAATCTTTTGTTTTTAATTGTGCTTTAGGTGAAAGTTTACAGAGCGAATTAGTTTCTCGTTAAACAATTAATACACAAATTGTTTTGTGACATTGGTTGCCAACCCCACAATGTGTCAACACTCTCCCTTTCTTGACCTCGGATTCCCCATTTCCATTCGTCCCATTTTCCTGTCTCTTCCTGCCTTCTCGTCTTTGTTTTTGGGCTGATGTGTTCATTTAGTCTCGTATATATGGTTAAACTACATGTGTTATTGTTTGTTTTATGGGCCTGTCTAATCTTTGGCTGAAGGGTGAGCTTCAGGAGTGGCTTCAGTACTGAGTTAAAAGGGTGTCCAGGAGCCATACTCTTGGAGCTCCTCTAGTCTCTGTCAGACCAGTGTGTCTGGTCTTTTTTTGTGAGTTAGAATTTTGTTCTACATTTTCCTCCCGCTCGGTTCAGGACACTTTATCGTGATTCCTGTCGGAGTAGTTGCTCGTGGTAGCTGGGCACCATCTAGTTGTGCTGGACTCAACCTGGTGGAGGCTGTGGTAGTTGTGGTCCATTAGTCCTTTGGACTAATCTTTCTCTTGTTTCTCTGGTTTTCTTCATTCTCCTTTGCTCAAGACGGGGTGGAAAACCAAACCCGTTGCTGTAGTAGATTCCGACTCATAGTGACCTTATAGGACAGAGTAGAACTCCCCCATAGGGTTTCCAAGGAGTGGCTAGTGGATTCAAACTGCTGACTTCTTGGTTAGCAGCTGTAGCTCTTAACCACTACACCACCAGGACTCCTAAAACTTTTCATTATTTAAGGACCCATTGATTCATTTAGAGAAATGAAAGAAAGCAGGCCGTTGCAGCCAGGGATTTGGTATACTTTTTGTTCAAAGGCTTCTCTTAAGTTAAACACTTTAGTGGAACTCATAATGGTGCACACACAACATACAAACACAGACCATGCTATATTAATGGTTAGGAAAACACCAAAAACTTTTCAACGCTGCATTCTCAATTTTTCAGGAAATAACCAGAATCCTTGGAGCCCTGGAGGCGTAGTGGTTAAGAGTTTGGCTGCTAACCAAAAGGTCAGCAGTTGGAATCCACCAGCTGCTCCTTGGAAACCCTATGGGGCAGTTCTACTCTGTCCTATAGATCGCTGTAAGTCAGAATCCACTCCATGGCAGTGGGTTTATCAGAATCCTCAAACAACCAAAAAAGCTAACAGGGGAACCCGTTTCTAGCTGCAGGTGGCAGCTGACAGGGACTCAATTTCTGACATCTGCCACTTGACAGAAATGGTCAGATGATAAAATTAAAACCCAGGTTCCATCATTGCTGCCACCAGTGTGGACACAATCAACCATGCTCAGTCGGAAACAGAAATAGATCGGCCATGAATCAGATTTACTGTGCAAAAACCAAAGTGCTCAATCACTGCAAGTGAGACTGATCACAGGAGCCAGGGGAAAGGGAGCTGAGGACGAGAGGGGCCCAGGGCTGGGCAGGGAGCGTTGTCAGCCTCCTCGGGTTCTCCTGGCTCCTATAGTAGGACTGGATCCCAGAGATCCTCCAGGAATGGCAGTCAAAGGAAGACTCAAGCTCATTTATTTAGAAAAGGAAAGAAAAAGTTTACTGGCCAAGAGTGCAAGGGCGTCAAACTCCAGAAAGGCTGCATCACCAAATACAAACCACACACGTATTAAAAGGAAAAAAACAAGGCTATCAAGTTTACATTATCTGTTCCTGGTGAATAAACAGCAGCTTTCTTTTGTGAATATCATATCCTTAAAGTTCACTACATGCCTTTTAACTTCAGTATAGGAAAAATCAGAGATAAAATTGCTTTTTAGGGAATCCAGGTTTACGGAAAATATTTAACATTTTATTGTTTGGGGGATCAGAACCAGTCAGGATGACCCAGTTATTTTTAGTTTATTTAAGAGTATAAAGAGGTTATGTGCGTGTGTGTTATGTGAAGTGCTTGATGATACTGGAAAAGGCAAAGTGTCAGTTTTTGTTCTACTCTCTATATTGAGTCCATCTTTAAATACTTTAAAACGCACTTTCTCTCAGTATTATTTATATGTCCACTGAGCTAAAAGGGGAGACATTTTTTTCTTTATTTTTTTTAAGGAGATAATGAGTTCAAAAAACATTTATAGTCTATGAAACCTGAAACTAGTACGTTAAGTATTCTGATCCAAAGTGCCAGGAAACCACAGGCATGGACTAGACTCCATGATACTCAGACTGAGCTGGTTATCAGTAAATGGCATTCAGACCGTTATCTGCTGTCTAACTCACTCCAGCAGCTTTTAGATATGCTTCTGCCCTAGTCTGTTTGGTATTCTAAAAGAATAAAAGTTTCAAGCAGCTTTTTAAAATTGCCATCATAATCTCTTCTAAATGCTGGGACATATTTAGGAAAATATGGGGCTGTTGTTTAGAATGTAAACTTATCCCCTTCAAAGCATTACATTTTTAAATGTCATATTTGTCATTTTTGACTCTGCACATCTGTTTCAAGGTAGGAACTTTTCAGAATTTTAGTGGGAAGGCACTTCTCAGTGCTTTTTGATGGTAGATGATAACAGGGGTTTGCTGTCCTAAGTCAGATGCTCCCTCTACTGGTATGTTACCCACCTCTAAATTCAATTATCCGTCTTTACACAGGATGTGCTGTAAATTACATATAAGCTGTGGAAAGCATTTACTGTGTCTTGTGAAAGATCCTGTGTGGACAGTCATGTTTATCTGTAGTGTTGATGTGCTGGTCTCTAAATTTGATTTCAGTCCAAAAGAATATCCGCTAAGGATGCCTTAGCCCACCCCTACCTAGATGAAGGGCGACTTCGATATCACACATGTATGTGTAAATGTTGCTTTTCCACCTCTACTGGAAGAGTTTATACCAGTGACTTTGAGCCCGTCACCAATCCCAAATTTGATGACACTTTTGAGAAGAACCTCAGTTCTGTTCGACAGGTGAAAGGTGAGTGAGTCTCTTTATTGGCCTTTGGCCAGGCAGGGTGACTAGTAGTGATTTCCATTGTCTGGTCCTGAAGGGCTGAGATCTGGATGGTGACCAAAGCTCCTCCATATACTTAATTTATATCCTTGCATGTAGCTATTTGTCCAGGGCATATATGCCAAAAAAGCTGTAAGTGTTATAAAAATGCTGATTTAATATTACATCCAGGGGAAGGTCAGGCAGAGGAATGCATATTTTGTTCTTGTTTTCAAAGCTGACTTATTTAGTGAGTGTGAATCAAAATATATTTAATGTGTATTCATTCAGTATGATATCATTGAATGAAATATATTGAAGTTCTTTTTTATATAACATGCAAAGTATAAAAAAGGATAAAGTCCCACTAGAAGGAATCATTTCTTGGATAATGATAAGAGGAAGGAATTTCTGATAGTTTGCCATTGTAAAATGTCCTGACATAATCTCATATTGGGGTGGGAATAGGGGGTACCGACAGCCAAAATTCTGAATGCATCTGCTCTAGGATATTTTAGAAGAGATGGTAGTCCCCCAAAGAAACCAACCCAAGCTAGTTACTTAAACACCACCTGAGGTTTTTAAGTGATTTTTTAAAAGGCAGTGATCACCCATAATGCCAGCCCTGAGGAGTCACCCTCAAATTTATCGACCATTTTACTCTTCCTACTGATGGGGTTCCAATCCATGTTAACGCCCCCTTTGGGTTTTTTTTTTTTTGCCTGTGCTTGGCAACAGCTGTCATTCCAGTTTCAGGAAAGTTCACCTGAATTCTGCCTGATAGATGACTTGTGTGTTTAACTAAACCAGCAGGAAATGCCATTTATGCTGGCTAGAGTTAGTAGAATCCACTGTTTCCAGGCCTGCAAGTGGACATGGATTACATGATGTTTGTTTTCTCCACAGAAATTATTCACCAGTTCATTCTGGAACAGCAGAAAGGAAACAGAGTGCCTCTCTGCATCAACCCTCAGTCTGCTGCTTTTAAGAGCTTTATTAGGTAACTATATGAATGTAATTCTGCCACTGCTGTTAGAATTGAAAGGATGCCATTGTGATTTTGCTATACAGCATATTTCCATTTTTGTTTAGAGTAGATAGCACAGATAAAAGGTCCAACAGAAAATTTCTGTTATGAGCTTTGGCTTTAGTCAAAAGTGTAACCTACTCCTCACTTACTGACATGGTTAGGCTCCGAAGACCAGGTCGTTAAGGCAAAAACCGGCCTTATGTGAAAATGGAGGCTTTTTTTTTTTTTTTTTTTTTCCCTGTTTTCAGACCATCCATTTGTCCAATTTTTTTTAATTAGAAAATAGAGAAATAATAACAGCTAAGATTTATTGAGGTGCTCATCTCTGTGGAGTACAGGTATGGATTATTCCTCTGGGAGAAGGAGGCTTGGAGGAGACAAAGCTAGATAAAGCCAGGCTGTGTGACTTGAGGACGCACTTCACCTTCCTCCTGTGCTGGGTCAGGGCTTCCCTCCTGGAGCTGCCTCCAGGCTCCACTCCCACCCCTGCAAGCCCTACATTCACAATCCAGGGGCCTGCTCTGCCCTCCGGGCCTGGCCAGGGCCCTGGGAGGCTCTAGGCCCAGGTCGCCCCACCGTGGGATGGCATTAAATTCGCAGTCATTTCTTCAGACACCCTGTCTGATGCCTCTTTCTGCCCTCCCTTTGCACCCCACAGCAATTTTGAGCTGCAGGGCCTCAGGCAGCATAGGAGCTGGGAACCCAGAATAGCCTCCTTCCCCTGCACCTCCCCCACCCCGCCTCCGCCCGCCCGGAGGCTGTGGCCACAGAGTAGAGGCCGACCCCCCCCCCCCCACAAAGCAGCTGGACGCAGCAACCCCACCTGCAGGAGGGAGCAGACGGCATGGTGCAGCGGGGTCCAGCTTCCCAGTGGCCTTCTGGAGACCCTCCTCGAGGGAGGGGACACTCTGCAGCCGTTGCTGCCATGCCCACTGCCTCGTTACTAATTGTATAGTGGATTTTTTACTGTTGTTGTAAATGCAAGATGTCAGATAAGGAGCTAGTTGGTAAGTGAGGAGTAGGTGTATTAAAAATCTAAGCATTGGTTTACACTGTATAGAGAACACACCAGTTCACTGCGGGTGCTTAGGTAGATTTTTTTTCCCAGATGACCATTGTGCTGCCTGATTGTGTACGTGGGGTTCCTACTGCAGCAGGGGTATAGCAGCCACCTGCCCTGGAGTTAGAAACATGGTCGTCTTGAGTCCCACTATATCCCTGCCCCTGTAATAATAACTGCAAGCAGGGAAATTATTTTCTTAAAGGGGGACTACTGGTGCAGCCTATTTAGGGGAGAAACCAGTAGGGTTATTGGTTAAAGAACTGTGAACCTACTTTGGACCCTAGCAAGCCTCATCCTTGTTCTCTCTCTTTGTTCTCTCCTTTTCTTGCTCTCGTTCCCCTAACTCCTGTATCAGGGTCTAGTTAGCAGAAAGAAGCCACACCAGTAATATGAACAGGGAAAGTTTAATAACAAGAATTATTCACTAGGAAAAGGTGATTAACTACTAAAAGGGGTAAAAAGGATTCTAAACAGTCCTGAAGTAACAAATGCAGAAAGCAGCTACTCCCTCTAGGCTGGGGAGAGTGATTAAAGAATTAGTTAAGAACTTAGAAGAGGTCCCCCCACAACCCAACCAGAGCTGCCACAGGGACACACAGCCTGAGGGTGGTGAAGAAACTTGCCAAAAGTGTGGAACTGGTCCTTTGAAGAGGCCTGCTGGACTGCAGAGGAACTTGCCAGAGGGTATGCAGATAAAGCTGGGGGAGGAAGGCACCACCTGACCAGCGAAGGAAGCGTCTTCCTAATGCTAGGCTTTGCAGTGCCCTTTCAGCGCCCTCTATTGACAAAAGCTAGCATCACACCAGCTGGCAAAGGTGAAATGTGTACAGGTCTGGCTCCAGAATCACAAAATAGGGCAAAGAAAGGTGGCTTTGAATCTGTGAGGCAATAAATTGATAACTGCTACATTCTTCCCCCTTTCTTCCCTGCCTCTGCTTTTTCCCTCTTCTCTGCCCCTTCCCCTCACTTCCCTTTTAATTGTCCTTGATTGAATTTATTGAACCAAAGTCAAGATTTTTTGTTTAGAATTTTTTAAATCAGGTGACTTTCATTTTTGTCATGTATTTTTCTGTAGAAAGAATTAAGTTGGATTTTTACTTTCTCGTGGTTATAAATTCTTTTGTTTTACTATTTTCCCCTCAGAGCCAGTTACTCAGGTATTGAGTGCGTTAGTACCTCTCAGGTGCAAATCATCATTATCCTGGGCCCTGGGGAAGCAAAGCAGGTAGACATACACAGCCTCAGAATTTATAATCTAGTCAACAACATTAGACAGACACATGGGGGGCGGGTAGTAACTGATAATACAGATCTGTGGATAGTAAATGTTAAGTGGTTATCCGTTCTCCTCAAGATTTGATAGAAGACTCTTACGACGCTTGTTCAAAATAGGTCACCAATTAAAGTCACTGTCTTTTGAGAGGCTACATTTAAATGGATAATTCCGCATCCCTTAAGGTTATTTTCCTGATTGTTTGTAGATGTTATTATTTATAATAACTACCATTTATTTTATATACTAGACACTGTGCAAATCACTTTATATACATTATCTCATGTATTCAGCACAATATCCTATGAGGTAAGCAGCATTGTCCCTTTTCAAATGAGGAAATTTAAGATTAAGGAACTTGCTCAGTGTCACACAACTAGTAAATGACAAGTGGTTTTCAAGCCTGTGTATTAGCCACTAGACCATATTGCCTCACTATAGATACAGATCCTTCACTAATGATTTGGAACAAATTCAACTTTAGAGAAGTTAAAAGAAATGAAAATCCAGGAGTGGTCATAACTTTACAATTTTTTTAAAGGAAGAGTGGAAAACAAGCAGCAGTGAATTGCCCTTTTGTGCATTGTGGTGTTACAACTAATTTCACCATCTCTTTTCTCTTCTAGTTCCACTGTTGCTCAGCCGTCTGAGATGCCCCCATCTCCTCTGGTATGGGAGTGACTGTGGAAGATAATGTACTACTGAAGATGTAATGTAGCTTTCCACTGGAGTCTGGGATTTGCAATTCTGGAGGTTAATCATGCTTGTACTGTAATTTTACTAATGAAGTTTTAAATTAACAACCACTACTTGTATGATATGAATAATATTTAGAAATGTTACTAGACTTTTAATCTTGTGAAGTGGTTGTGCTTTTAGAGACATATTTTACCCAGAGTTGCACATGTTTTATGATTCAGTGCAGCTGTTACGGCTCACCTCAGAACAAAAGAGAATTGAACCAAATTTGGGAGTTTGGGGTTTTGTGTTTAGTTTTTTCTTTTTTTAAAATGAAGTGAGATTGTTCACACACACACACACAAAGGACAGTCATACATTTTGATATTTGAGCCATTCCTAAAGATTTGGGGTATTCTAAAACTAAAGAATCTAGTGAGCTTGCCTGCGACCAATCATGGAGCCACGTGAGCTGATCGTGGCTGCACCTTGGGGGTAGGGGGTAGGGGCATGCCACCTGATGATCAAGCCCTGTAATTAGCTTCATTAGAGCCGTGATGGTGATGTGTGCTGTCTAAAATCAAATGTTGTGGGTAGAGAGAATGAGTTTGTGACTAGGAGAGACTAAACTTTTTTTTTTCCTTACCCAGTATAAATATATATATATATATATTTAATCTATTTTTATTAGAAGTTTTTCTGCTCTTTCTTACATAAAAGAACCCCAAGGCATGCATCTTTCATGTGTGTAAATAATTTATTCCTGGGCTAATTTCAAAAAGAATCCCAACATTGCTGTATAGAGAGAGAACTAGCTTGCACATTTTAGGTCTGTGAAATTTTGTGAGACTTTTCCTGCACTGGACAGTAAAAAAAAAAAAAAAAAAAAAAAAT